AGAGAGAGAGAGAGAGAGAGAGAGAGAGAGAGAGTTGATTTGTGAGGGAATGGGATGTAGACGTACTGCTGTTAGGTTTCTTTGCCATTGAGAATCACATTTGCCGTCACATTCAGGACAGGGACGAGACATCGCATAACCACCGCATTCACTGCAGTCAAGAGTGACGTGATTTTGATGCCAACTCACTCCACATCTGCATTAAATGATAGCATCATTTGCTTTACAAATCATTTCATTTTCATATTATTTTTGTCAATTAAAAGTCAATTATCATTTCATTGATAAGAATACAAAAGCAATACTAACTCAAAGCAAGAGTTGTATAGAGTTCTTAAGCCCTCAATTGTCACCATTTCGTGTATTAAGTCTTCGGCACTAATGGTAGAGTCGAGTGATGTTAGCGATGAAGAGGACGATGAGAACCAATGAGGATATAGTAATGTGGTGTCAATTTCGGCGTTGAGTTCGCTGTTGGTCTCGCAGTCAGATCTCTCGATATAGAGTTTGCAACTCTTTGCGGACGAATGTATCACTGGATCAGACTTTGAGTGACGGATTTGAAACTCTATATCAAACAATTATTACACCAAAAAATGACAATTAATTTCATATCTTGAAAACAATACTTTAAAACTTGTTTTCAGTGTAAATAAAAATACATTTCACAGTAAAAGACTATTTCATAGCAATTACTGGAATACAAGTGTAGAAACAGTTCATTGATGTTTGAATTGAGATATTATGACATTTACACCTCTCTCTCTCTCTCTCTCTCTCTCTCTCGCTCTCCTCTCAAACACAGACTTTACGGTATAATTAACTCTAACTTTGATTGCGGAGTCATTGAGAAGTGAGGATATAATGAAGTTTAACGCTAAATATACACATCAAATGTGGTTAAATATAGCATCAAATCAGCGCTCATATAATCACACATACAATGTATGACTGAATTGCAATCAATGCTAACAATGTTTTCAAATCACTATTTTCTCTAAACAATTACAGATAAATCAAATCAAAACTTACTTTGCATTCAGTCTAAGAGTGTAATCATTTTATGGCAAACAAAAACTTTTTTTTCACTTCAATATAATAGTGGAGCAAAATATTAACGATATATCGGATTAAATGGTCCACAAAATTGATGCTTAAACTAGTTTTTGTGTATATTTTATAAACACTTTAAAACAAATCAAATCAAAATAAACAGTGAAATGAAAAACTAAAAGTTATACTAAACTATACATGCATTCAAAGCCTAAACTCAAACATCAAAACTCAATGACAACTGAAACTGTATTTCGAGAGACGTAAGGATTTTATAGTTAAATATTTACATTCATTTCTATGGAAAGCAACAAAAAAATAACATTGAATTCAATGCATAGATAGAGAGGTTTAATAGGCGTTAGGAAAGAGTTAGCGATTGATCCGTTTGTGGTGATCGACAAGTGTCTCATCACAAAATACATACCACTGTTGGTGTGAATGAAGCGATTCATGAGTTGTTTGGCGGCTGAAGAGGACGGCTGACAACAGGGCATGAGTTGTGGGCAACTCTTATGGCTGTCGAGCAATGGTTTGCCACAAACGGTGCACAAAGACATCAACGACCAGACGCTCGTGTTGTCCACACTATTGTCGCTCATATCACACACTCTGCCGTCGTATGGGATGTGTTGTGTGGGATGTGTTGAGTCGGATGTGTTGTGTATTGAGTGACAAATCAGTTGCAATGCAATCACATCCGAGACACGAGTGGTTGACACAGACTGTGTTCACTGAACGGTCCCTTCGGTTATATAGCAATTCAGTGAATGCATTGCAGAATACATGCAGTGTTTGGCAACTCTTGTACCGAACAAACCATTGCGCCCTCAGAAGGGGTGTTCCCATCCATACACTGCCCAACCATTGCGTGCAGTGAGTGTGCAGTGTATGGCTCGAGACCCCCACAAACCCCCACTCCAATAGTGAGTGTCGTCTCTCCCTCTCATTCAAAGTGCTGTAGACTTGGAGTAAGAGTTGAGTGAATGACACGTCTGTTGTCTAAACTTATTATACAAGTCTATGGCTTAGAGTTAGAGTTCATTCAACTCCCAAACCTCTCTCTCTCCCTCTCTCCTCCCGCTCTCTCGCCTAATCTCTCCCCCACTCTCTCTCTCTCTCTCTCTCTCTCTCTCTCT